ATGTGGCCGCAGGGCACGTTCAGTGTTGCTACATGTCGTCGGTATGATAGGAATCATAACCTGATTCCTGTCAACTTTAACGTTTAATATCTTGCGTCGCGGGGCAGAGCAACACTTTTTTCTGCCAGATTCTTTTGTTTCGTACAAAAACGCGTCGATTGAGCATATTTACATCGAGATTTGAGGTGAGGCCCCTAAACTAAATAATTACCCCTTCTCCTTTTGTCCTTGTCGTTGCACTTGGCATTCGCTTTCTTCGTGACCGCTAACGCGCTCGTCGAATCCTCTTCTTTGTCGAAATTCAAATCTTCGCGTATCAACCGCTCCAACAGATTCGCAATCGTTTGACGCTGTGGATCGACACTGTCCCACGCTGTCTTGAAGACATTAAATTTTGTCGTCAAGCTCGACAAAATCTTTGCGATTACTGCTGCCTCCGATATCGGCTCGCCTAGATCCCGCAACTGTCTTGTCATGTTCTGTATGGCACTTACGTGCTGGATCACTGAGTCCGACGTCTGCATTTTATACGCGTAAAAACGTTGCGTTAATGCACCCACATTTGAGGCCGATTTTTGCTCGTGCAGAGTCATCAGCTTCTTCCACATCTCGAACTCTGTGGTACAGACAAGCACACTATTCACTTGATCATCTTCCATCGCTGACGCAATAATCGCCGTAGCCTTGGCGTTATCCTTCACCCACGTTTTCATCGCTGCCACATTCGTGTTTTCAGGTCTTTGTCTCGTTCCGTCGACTACGTCGAAAATCTCATTCGCCATTAGCACAGCGGTGATCTGGAATTTCCACGCCTGATAATTCTTGCCGTCGAACCGCTTCACGGATCACACTAGATTATCGTCCGGCATTTCCGATCTTTTCGCGTACACTCCCGGAACTGAAAATATTCGCTCGACGTCCTCGCCTCGATATTGTCTCAGACCTTTCTCCGCGAACTCTTTCCGATTTTGTGATCACTTGGAGAAACACGACTTCGCCACGTGCCTTGCTCGCACGCCGTACGGTCGACTTGCCACACTTTTCACGAACGCGAACTCTCTCTCACTCGTGACCTGGGCCCATAACCTGATGAGGCTATGGATTATGGAGTAGATTGCAGAGAAACTCGTAATTGTACAATATACTTCGCGTTCCTTTATTGAAAAACTAATACCGTGGATACGTTACAAAAACGACTTTTGTCGGTTACCGTCGTGCAGCGACTCGAAGTAACATGCGCGATCGCGAGACTCGCTACCTCTCCTCTGCCGCGCTCGGCAATATTCGGATACGCTCGTGCGCCTACGCGCTAAACGCGACGACCTGCCTCAATACAATTAAACTCACTCTTCGTATCTTTCTTAGAGGGACAGTTAGAAAGAGCTGAAGAGTGAGTTTAATCGAAGGTTACAGTTAATCGACGTTAATGAAACTGGCCCTATGTGATAGTTTTTTTTAATAATTCAACAATTTCTTCAAAAATTGCAACCGTCATATTTATGAAATAACATAAATACTTCGAAAAAATCGATGCATTATGGAACAAATTTTGGTTCTTAAAAATTCTTGAATTAAGTAAATTAGAATTAAAATAATCCTTAATTGAAATAATCCTCTGTGCTAATAATTTCAAAAATTGTTTAATTGGTTACGATTCCTTGAGATTTAGTTTCTTCGAATTAATTAATTTTTTGCTATGCAACACAGGTGCTGCGTGGAAAGTAGTGCAAGTAGATTAAAAGTTACTAACAATTACAGGGTGATTAAAAGTTATATAAGTAAACAAAATAACAACGCCTAATAATGATAATAATACTGCGGACCTTTAACACGTCTAACATTTCTATTCAAAATATATCTGTCGACACCAGTGATGAAGATAATTTTGTTCGTGACAAATTTAAAGAATGGAATCTTGAAAATTATATTGAAATATTTACCAGTAAGTGTGTGTATATAATTCCGTTTATTTATATTTAATTAAAACGTTATTTTTTTGTGCTCTATTTTTCAAAAATTATTTTTAATTATCTGCTGTTAATTTCTTTCTGGTGAATATTTTTGGTAAAAGTTTACAATAACTTACACAGCTCGGATTACTTTGACCTTGACATATGTTGTCAAGGACATAATACTGAGTAACTTTTTCTTATAACTTATTCGGCGGTCGCTGCTTATTAAAAAGTTATAAACAAAAAAAGTTTGAAAAATATAGCAGCTATTTTGACTATTGGAAGGCATAAATGACTAATATATATGTCGAAATAGTTCACGCATACACTTTTCACGCAAACCGAGGTTCACCCACACCCCCCTGCTTTCGGGGGAGGTGCGATAGCTCCGAAATAGTTCACGCATACACTTTTCGCGCGAACCGAGGTTCACCCACACCCCCCTGCTTTCGGGGGAGGTGCGGTAGCCCTGAAATAGTTTACGCATGGGTTAGTTGACGCGCTTTAAACAATTAAATACTGTTAAAGCGCGTCATCTAACCTATGTAGATTAGTGACGCGCTTTAAACAGTTAAATACTTGTAAAGCGCGTCATCTAACCTACGTATTTTCCAAACTTTTTTTGTTAATAATTTTTTAACGAATAACGAGCAACGGCTAAAACCTTCTGAAGGTCACTCGGGGTCGTGACCTTGACAACATATATCAAGGTCATTGAAATCGGTGAGGTCGCCAAACTTTTTTTTGTTAATAACTTTTTAATAAAAAGCGACCGCCGAATAAGTTATAAGGAAAAGTTACTCAGTATTATGTCCTTGACAACATATGTCAAGGTCAAAGTAATCCGAGCTGTGTAAGTTATTGTAAACTTTTACCTGAATCTTATATGTATCCATACATGAGTGCATATATGATCTATTGTTCATATCTAGTTATTTTTAGAATTATATATGCCTATATATAATGATATATAAACCCATATATAATTTTATTTTATACATCTTTCACATATAATCACATATAATCTATATATATTTATGTATAAATTTTTTAATAATGAATAACTTATTTATTTTTTATGATATTGAACGCTGGCCCGTTACACCCTATACACAATGAAGCCATAATTTTTTATTTATTTATTTATTTATTTTTTTTTATTTTTTTATTTTTTTATAAAAATTGTTGCTTTTTAAAATGACTATTTAATCGTTCACTATAATGTAGACTTTTGTTTTGTGATTTTTTTCTGATTTTTGTAAATGTTTCCTTTTTTTAATGAAACATTTATATATATTTAATATCATGTAAAAAAGAATACACTAAATAGCTCATACTCTATAACTTTACCACTCAGCAAGCTCTTTCTTTTCCACTTCTTCTTACTAAGACGCTACAGTTCCTCGAATAATTCAACTTTCAAAGATTATCTTTCTCTCACTTTTCTAGTCGAGAATAGTTTAACTTTTCTTTTTCAAATCTAATTCGATTACCTAAATTTTTGTGAATAACAGAAAACTGTATTAGATTAAAATAAGAAACACTGAATTATATACATAATTTACTATCCTAATTCTGTTGGATTTTCTTCACATCTTTTCATAAAATATATGTGTCTACGTACAATCTCTCACTCTCACACATTTACGTTTTAACTATTACTTTACTAATCTCTTAGGCTGTGTTCGGAAACGTCTCCTGAGTGCACACAAGTATACTCTCACTCTCACACATATACGTTCCAACTATTACTTTACTAATCTCTTAGGCTGCGTTCGGAAACGTCTCCTGAGTGCACACGAGTATACTCCCTTCTCCTTCTAACTCATTGAGATAGAAAGAGAAGAACCCGGGTACACATGGGTATACTCCCTTCTCTTTCTATCTCAATGAGCTAGAAGGAGAAGGGAGTATACCCGTGTGTACCCGGGTGACGTTTACGAATGCGGCATTATTCTTTAAAAATGTATATTATTTCACTTACCTAACCAATAAGAAATTTACCCTCAAACGCATTCTAAATA